CGGCTGATATTCTTTGCATTTCTCCTTCCATGTAATCGACTCTGTTCTCCATTGTTGATGATCTTGTGCTTGGCATCTTGGCTCTGAATTGGCTCTAATACCAACTTGTTAGGAACTGCCTAACTCAGGGACTCGTTCGAGGGAGACTGCCTCCAGAATGAGAGAGAGAGAGAGAGAGAGGTTGTATTCTTAATTCAATAATGCCATTCGATTATAGCATGTTGTTATTTATACACTACTGTTATACAGCTGTTACAGTTCTGTTGTACCAGCCTCTCCACTTGTCAGTCCACTTGTCTAGTTTGTTACAATCTTTGATCTAGTGGTTGGCTGTTAGTTACAATCTTTAAAGGCTGTCGTGGCCTTTTCTTGTACACTTGTATTTCTTTAGTTTGTGTCCCAACAGAGTGGCTGTGATTTATTGGTGGGGAGCTGAATGGTGAGGATTAGCAGTATAGGTGGGGCCCTAGGGTTTAAAAGCTATAAAGGAGAGCCCTAAAATGAGTGGTTGATATTAAAAGAGGTGGAGGGTGGAGATTAAACACCTAGGGGCAGCTAGGGTTTGCTAAGAGTGAAAAGATTAGGTTAAAAAGTCTCCCTAGGATTTGCTAAGGAGAGGGGAGCATGGTAATACAATAAGATGAGCGCCAACTGGGTTTAGCAGATAGGAGGCGCCCTCCTGTTCTCACTTCTCTACAAAAACACCCCCTCTCTCAGTTGGACTTCACTCCAGCTTCCCAAAAAGTGCACTTCAGCCTAGAAAACTTCCTAGTTTTCTACATAATTTGCACAGAGACTCTCAGAGGTCACATAATTGATTTTAATTGGGAAAAGGGTACACTGACTATTCTAAGGCCGAAAATACCCCTGAATTGATGCCCTTAAGGCATCAAAATGCAGGGTTATCACTCATGCATGCTAATAATCACTCTATACCATAGTCTATCCTGTTCCAATGATAGTCTCCAAAGCCGTTTCCTCAACAAAGTTGTATTCCTTAATTCGATATTACCTAATTCTAGGCCTCTTTCATCCCTAATCCTAGAAACCACCTCCCACTTCACTAGGTGATCCTTTTTGGTGTCCCCGTTCCCATAAGAAATCCCTCATAATCTTCTCTAGCCGGTTTGCCACTTTCATTGGTACTTTGAATGTAGACAGGAAGTAAACTGGCAAATTGGCCAAAGTGAACTTGATTAGAGTTATCCTACCCCCCCCTAAAGAAATTTAGTTTCTCTTCCAATTTGCAAGTCTCTTAGTGAATCTTTCAATCACTGGGTACAAGAAGCTGTTTGCATTTGGATTTCCTCTCCGTGGTAATCCTAGATATTGTAGTAGCCAATCCCCTACCTCACATCCCAAAACTCTAGCTAGACTGTCTACCTCTTCCCTCCCTAAATTTACTCTTGCCACATGACTCTTACCCCAATTAACTTTAAGATTGGATATTTTCTCAAAATGGTGCACTAATCTTTTTAAGTTCAAGAGCTCTTTTGCTTCCCCTTGACAAAATAGTATGATATCATTTGCAAACTATAGATGTGATAACCACTTTCTCCCTCCCAACTCTCCAACCTCAAATTATTAGCATCTGCCCTTGAAATCAACTCACTCAAAACATTAGCTACTAAAGTAGAGAGGAAGGGTGACAAAGGGTCTCCTTGTCTAAGGTCCCTTTTATTAGGAAAAAAAATCCCTGGCTACTCCATTCACCAATATGAAATAATGACACGATATGCAACCCTTCACCCATCTACTCCATCTTTCTCCAAAGCCCCTGCAATTGAGAACTTTTAGAAGAAAATCCCAATCTACCATGTCATAAGCCTTTTCCAAGTCTAGCTTACAAACCATCTCCTTTTCCTTCTTCCTCCTAAACTTACACATTCATTGGCAATACGTCGTATTTGATCCATTATTTTTCTCCCAAAGACAAAGGCCCCTTGATTTGGAGAGATTAATGACGTGATGACCATTTTTGTTCTTAGGGCAATGAGTATTTCCCCATGTCCTCTGCAACATTTTTCTTAAAGGAATAAAGAGAGGTTCTTTCATGAAGGGGATATCACTCAATATGGTTCCAAGCTTCCAGCTAGCTGGGGTTTTGGGTGGAGTATCTACTAACTTCTTGCACTTTTGCACAAGCCATTGCTCTCATGCATGTTAGCCCTACTTTGCCATTACACCAAGTAATGGCCCCTTAAATAAAGATTCTTTCATCTTTCGGTTCATTGTCAGGCCCCTAAAGCATCTTTAAATCACTCTGACTGAAGCATGTGAAGCCAATTATCATTTGTATTGTTGTGCTGAAGTGTGATCTTAGGAATTGATGACGATCCAAAAGACAGAAGAAAGAACCAAATCCATATAATACAAGAACTTGTGTGGTTAGGCAAGATGCCTATGTCCATGGCAGAGATGATTAAAGAGATTCTGTGCCAAAAATTCAAGAATCTTTCCAGATACAAAAAAAAAAAAACAAAAAATAAAAAGAAGCTCCATTCTGAAGAACAATGCTTTCTCCCCAAAGTGACACTACTCCCAAGAGAAACATTCTTCCCAAGAACCAAAATATATTTCCTGATTCACAAATGGTTTTTTCTTCTCTAACTTGAGCACCCTTCTCCACTTGTTTGCCTGAACGAAGTTCTCCATTTTTCCTTCTCCTGTCCTTGAGCAGGTCTTCAAATGGTTCCCTACATCAAAACAATGTTTTAAAGACTGGCTGCCCAGTCAGAGGCTTAACCCTTCCCCCTCTAGGTGATGGGTCACTGATTCAATTGTCTGGGTCAATTGGTCAACTTTTGATGATGTCATGATAATAAGGACTTATCCAAAAAATCGAATAATACAAAACATGCCCAATGAATGGGTTGAATGGGTGACCAGTTCAACCATCCAGGTTGGGAGGTTGTGGACCAAGTTAACAGTTTTTGTAATATGGCAGGTTAGAGGTTGAAAGGACATGGAATTGTGACATGGCCACTGGGTCACCAGTCTGACCAGCTGGGTAAATGACCAGCAGGTTGAGAGCATTGCATCAAGAAGCTAGGAATCTGAAAACATGGGATACGAACTGTGTAGAACCTCACAACCTGTAATCAAGCAACATATTTGGTGGAGAACTCAAAATCTATCAAATCATGATTGGTCTGTTTCCCAAAACAGCCACAGAAGGCATATTTATAGACTTTTAGGTCAAATCCTTGTTTCACAAGGAAAAAGAAGTCCCAAAGAGGGAATTGCAATTGGTTTGCATGTACATTGTCTCTGCTTCTCTCTCTCTCTCTCTATAACTTGATGTTAAAAGGAAACCACATCTTGGCTGTATGTAAGATTGTGAGTGGCATGGATTTCAAGCCACGCCTAGCCAATGTTCTGAAAATCATAATTCTATCGTAAATCGTAGAGAAAGTAAATTCATGAACTGTATCGTAAATTGTAAGATTGATTCTATTTTTTAAAAACTGTCAAAAATTAAATATAGATATGGTAAAAAGGAAACCGACTTGGAGTGGAGAGTTTGCTAATTGAAGGAGACTCTAAGGTGGTTGTGGGGTGGTCATTGGATCCTGATACTGTCATTGGGGGCTATAGAGACCTTCTTAAAAAAGTTAACTTGGTTACAAGGAATATGACAGTTAGATTTCATTGGGTGGGCAGATTGGCAAATGCTTTGGCTGATTCTCTTGCTAAACAGGTGGCTTCTCAGGTTTCTTTGTATTGGGCTACTTTGTAAATTGTAATTTGTTTAGTCTTCAGAAATTATAATAAACTTAAAGGGGAGGTCAGATCTCAGGACTCCTCTTTGGCTGCTTGTATTTCTTCATTCTCTTGATTAATGAAACCTATGTATGTAATTTATCAAAAAAAAAAAAATGAAACCTATGTATGTATGTAACTAAAAAAGAAACAGAATTTACCACTTTTACAATAAAAGTCTAAGATGACATAATCAAGTTTGAATTGAAAGTCAAATAATCCACATACATTGACTCTTTATCCTACATATGATGAAAAATAAACTTGATATATGGTATTAAATAACATAAATAGATCAATTTCTATTAAGGTCTTTAAGACATGTTGTCACCCTTGGAAAAACTAAATATAAACAAAACAAAATAACAAAGTAGAGAACTAAAAGTGGTTTGAATTGTAGTAAATTGTATAAACCGTAAGACTGAACCAAATTGTAGGATTTGGATTACAATTTTTGCAGAAAAGAATTCAAAAATAAGATTCAAGTTGAAACCCTTGGGACTTATGATTCAAATCATGAATCGTATCATAAATTGTAAGATTTTGACAACATTGCTCCCAGCACATATAGTGTTAGCTTTTATTATAGAAATCCTCCTTGAAAACCATTTTCTGAATTTCATCTCTGTGCTTATTCTTTGGATCTTTTTGCTAAGCCACATGAATATTGCCATTCAACCAAGGCATACGATTTTTTATGCAATTGTAAGATTTTTGCAGAAAAGAATTCAAAAATAAGATTCAAATTGAAACCCTTGAGATTTATGATTCAAATTATGAATCGTATCATAAATTGTAAGATTTTGACAACATTGCTCCCAGCACATATAGTGTTAGCTTTTATTATAGCAATCCTCCTTGAAAACCATTTTCTGAATTTCATCCCTGTGCTCATTCTTTGGATCTTTTTGCTAAGACATGAATATTGCCATTCAACCAAGGCATACGATTTTTTATGCAATTGTCAGTACTCAGTACCATCCCTTCTGCTCTCTTGACTTTGTTGGGATGTACCACCTCAAGGTTCATATGCATCCATCGTAGCTTCTCTACATGAATATTTCCATTAACCAAGGCATATAATTTTTTTATATGATTTTCACTACCATTCCTTTTGCTCCTTTTGGGACTTAAATTGGAACATATCATCCTAAGGTTCATGTGCATATCCATGAAACTTCTTTCTTGTTCTTTATTTGCTTTGTTCCCATCTTAGAAAAGATGGCTTTGTTGTTTAGCAGGGTGACAGTAAAGGTTCACGTGGTGCAGATCAATCTGGAAAGAATGATGGTGAGTCTTTTTATTTGGACAGCTTCTTTGCTTAGATAATAAGATTGACAGAAGCAGTTCTGTAACTCATTTCGTCTAGGTCTTATGCGGTTTATTTCATATACACTTTTCAGGTTGGTCAGGGATTGTTTGACTTGGGAGCAAACTGTATATGCAGTCCCAGGTCTGTAGTAAATGTTTTGTTTGATTCTCTGTACATGTTTCAGGATGTGAATTCATGTTTCTGTGCCACACATGCTTGTGTGCATGCATGCACTTTTCATAGTTTGTTGCTATGTTCCAAGAGAAAAAGATTGATCAATAGTTACAAAACATGGCCAAAAACACTAACATGTGCAGGCACCAATGTGCAGACCCTATCCAGGTGTTAAGGCAACACCCACAAGCCAGCAGCTCTAACAGAAGCAAACTCAAATACAAAAGAAAATCAAAAACTATCCAGAATACACTTACGAAATCCATGCATTTCGAAGCTTATCCCGAAAGAATCTTGGAAACTTGACTAAAACTCCACCCTCTCTCCTTCATTCAGTCCTTCACATTTGAAATGCCCCCACCTCCATCCCGTATGAAAGCCAGACTCCCAGAAAACTACCATATTCACTTGCGCCTCTTCCCCATTACTGGACCCCCCAACATTCAATCTTCGTTCTCAGCTCATCTTACCCCAGCTTCGAATCTTGCAATGTCACTATCTCTAGATTGTGATATCTCAAAACATTCTTTTCAAATGTTCCTCTTCTTTCATTTCCTAGGTCCCTCATGATCCTAGCTTCATCTTCAATGTTTAACTCCAAAATCACCCCCTCTAAGTTTTCAGCATTCTCCCTCTCTTCATCATCTATATTTTCTCACATGTCATAGATCGATGAAGAGAGTTCTAAAAGAAATCCTAGACAATGTTTTAAAATGTGGAGGCTTGATGCAGGGCATTCCACCATCCTTAGGCATGAGGTTTAAACTAGAAGGCTAGAGGTGTTAGTCTCTTGAGCCTGGACTTTTTACTTAATAAATGATTAGAAATAACATAAAATAAATTAAAAATAATAAATATCCCCTAAAACCATCACATTTAAATCAGAACTCAAGTTCATTGTATATAATGTATTACCGTCCATATTTATGCAAGTTTCATTAGCTATCAATATGCTGTTTGCGAAGTTGCAAAGCAGAGTTTCAAAATTACCAGTTTCACATAAATTGTACAATATTATCATCAACAATTGTGTTATTTCACATTCAAATGACTGTAATGCAATAAAAGAAACCAAAGTCTCCACTTTTATTTAAAACATTTTATTAATATATTACAAAAAGCAAAAATTAGAAAACAATGCTGGACGTGTCTTTTCACGATTCTCACCTTGTATATAGGGGGAAGAACCCAATGATTGCATAAATTTCTTGTGTGCTACAATACCTTTATAAATTAGTAAACTGACATTCTTATATATCAAAAAGAAGAAAAAAGGAGGATGAAAGAAAATTTGGAGAATATGACCACTCATGAGGTGAGATTCTTCAAAAATTTTCATGAAAACTGTTCTCCCAGTTTGTAGGTGGGTCTTAAATGTCTTCGTGTAGTATGCAATTAATATGGTTATAAAGTTTGACATCAACTTGCTTCAGTGCTTGTACAAAACTAGAATACTTATGGGGTCAACAACTTATGTTACCTACACTTGCTACTAATCTTTATACATTGCTAGCTTAAAGCAAGAAATTTATAAGTGGGATACATATGCTTGATGGATTGAAACTGCCCTTGTGCATTTGCCTCTGAGTTTTCTCCACTTTTTTATCCAAGTGGTTTAACAGATGTAGAGTATAAGGTAGTGTTTAAAATCCAGACCAGTGGCTGATCCATTTTTCTTTCTGATGATGGTTCACTGGTTTGACCTTCTGGGTTGAATGGATCAGGCCATTTTATCAACAAATGAAATCTGGGATATTAGGTTAGAATAGTAGGTTAGCTTTCTACTCTACCCATACATAAGTGGAAATAAAAGAATAGATATGGTAGCTGAGAATGAGGGGGAGGAAAAAGAGGCTGACGATAGTGTTTTGGTGATATTCAGCAGTGGCTTCTCTAGAAGCAGTAGTGACATCCAACTGCAGTGGCAACTAGTTGCAGCAGCAGTTAGTAGCAGTTGTGGTATCTGAGAGGAAGAATTGATAGGTCGACAAGTCTCCAACCACAACTACAGTCTGCAGTGCCATTGTTGAATTAGTCAGTTAGGGTTTCGAAACATTACATGACTTAAGAGAATTGATAGGTTGTGGTCTAACTTGTCACCCACTAAACAGGTTGACTCTCTGGGTTGACAAGTTTTAACCGTAGTCAACATGTATGGAACCATTAGTGTCTGGTGATGCCGTAATGGGTTTGAATGTTTTGATTGCCCAGGTCAATGATGGGTTGAAAATACTAATATAAGTACTTAGCTATCAGCTATCCTAGGTTTTGGAATGTATGAATTAGAGATTCTGATGCTGGTTTACATCATATTTTGGACATTCTAGTGGTTATAGTTAGGGAGAAACAGTGCCTACCAGAGATCTTTGGATATATTTGGCGATAATACAAGTTCTGTTCAAATAATGTGGTGCAGTGCTGTCAGTGTATTCAGTCTGATTTGGTTCAGGGTAGACTCAGTCCCAAATGCAGAACCACTCCTGAACCAGACCCTGTAGGATCTGTTATAATAGACCCAAAATCAGCCCAATTATTAATTGGGAATATTGGGTCTGACCTGATAAGAACCAATTATAATTGGCAGCTCTACTTTTTAAACTCTTTGTTGACATTAAACCTGATACGTTTGTTAAGTTGATAAATTTAGACATGAAAATATGATACTATAGCAAGTGTACCACGAGAACGATAGGTATTAGACTCGACTTGGAAGTTGGAACAACTAAAACTGATCCCAACCCAAGTATAATTGGGACATGAAATGCAGAACCAGATCCTATATAGTAGGGTCAATTTGGTTTGATTTTTTTGGTTTCACCTGACGGCTCTAATGTGGTGTTAGAGTCTAGTTGATTCGTGCATTTTCCTTAACATTTTGGTTTAGTTTAGAGCATTATTGGTAATTTTGCAGCTTGATTTGCTTCAGAGAGGGTACTATTGTATGTTTGAGTTCTGAAACAAGGGATTAATGCTCATTGTATGGTGCAATGGTAAAATCTCAGGCCAACGGGTATGGCTACCTTGTGCAAAAAAATGCCATAGGTTAGGCACATATCCAGCCCTGCCCTCCCAATACCCCAGGTTGGTGGGGACCAACATTGGGTAATGCCCCCTAGTTCTGAAATGCGGGTTTTAGATTATAGCATGCTTGATATTTCAATGTTATATTGAAGTTTAGTGGTGTAATAGCAATTTAGTTATGTTCATGACTAAGAATGTGGGGTTTTGCAGGAAATGGAGCATGTGATGGTCCCAATGTAGGGAATTTATATGGAACTGGATCCTGTTGTATACACTTGTCTTCGTTTTCCTTGCATTAAATGCTTCTAATGAATAGTTTTTCTTGCATTGGATAATTTCACGTGTACTTTGTGCCAGCTGCCAGGTTAGGGTGGGTAGGGGTAGCCTGTAAAACAATCGACCCAACTCAGGTTATGAGTGGGTTGGGTTCAAGCTACAATAAGTTTGATTGGTTGGACTTGTTTTCATAGTTTGAAACTTTGAATATTTGCAATTCTCCATTGGGGCCTAACTCATGCTGAGATCGGTAGGTTCCATGTAATCCAGGTTGAGGTTGTGGGTCCAAATGATTTTGGGTCAAGATATGTTTAGGGCGTATGGGACTTGTGGGGCTATTCTGGAGTTGCTCTTTAATCAATTCAACTGAACTAATAGCCATTTCATAACAACTGAGGTGGCTGAACTAAATGCTCCTTAGTTGCTGGAAGATGAAGTTGCGTTGATGGCTATACTCTCGAATATTTTGTTATTCAGGCTCAGTTTGGAAAATGTACAAATACAAATGTGTAGAGTGCAAAACCTTACATTTTGTATTATTTTGTCTTTGCACTGTATATATTTGTATTCGTACTCTTGCCAAACTGAGCCTTAATCATTATTTTATCCACTAAAAGGCAAAGAAATAAATCATTATTTTATCCACTAAAAGGCAAATCAGCTACTTCTGCCCTTATCAAATGGCCCCTTCCAAACCGTATGGATTTGGCTACATATAACCTGTTCAGCCATTCCTCTGTTGAGTGTCATATCTTTTGTTAAAATCATTTTCACTATTTCAAGTATGTCATTGTTGGTTTGCCCTTTACTCTTTTGGGCACCTCAACTAGTCACAGATCACATAGTTCATATTACACAACTAAATATGGGTGATTTTAAAAGGGTAAATCTGACAATCATAAAAACCTCCCGAGGTTTCACTTTAACAAAATCCTCCCCTGTAGTTTGAAAAACCTGCAGTTACCTCCCTTGCATCAAAGGTAGGTGATTGCCAATCCACTTGTTAGAGAATTCAATATAATTCAAAATGTCAGATTTGCCCTTCTAGACTTAACTAGACCTAAAGTTTTTGTAGAGTAAAATTACTTTACTACTCATATCAACGTGACTCTAGGAATTTTTTAATTGAAGTTAAAGTTTCTTTTGGGGATATTTTAGTAAAATTTCATCTGAATTGATAGATATAAGGGTAAAATGGAAAATTTTGAAAAATTAATGCATTAATTCACTGTTTTCCATTTAGGACAATAACAACAGAGGTTTTTGTAGAGGAAAATTTTGAAAAACTGCAGGTTTTTTTTTTTTTTTTTTTTTTAAACTACAGGGAGGTCTTGTGAAAGTGAAACCTCAGGGAGGTTTTTATGATTGTTAAAAAATTCAGGAAAGTTTTTATATTTTACCTTTTTTTTTAAAAAAAAAACGAAAATGACCCTTCCCCACTATGGTTTGGTTTTGTAAGCATGTGTTGACATACCTATTTGACTATTTCGATTTCAGTATCATAAGCTGTTAACGGATGAGTATCTTACCGTGAAAAATAGAAACAAAGAAAAACAGATTGACATATCAAAGAAAAATTGTTTCATAGGCTCTGTTTGGAAGGAATACAAATACAAATATGCAGAGTGTAAAACTTTGTATTTTGTATTATTTTTTATGTATTTGCACTGTACATATTTATATTTGTACTCTTAGGTTTAGTTTGGAAGGAGTATCTATATATATATATATATATATTAAAACAAAGAGGCCAAGAAATTTTCTCATTTTTTTGATTTTTTTGATTTTTTTTATTCCATGTCATTTTCAAGATAACCAATGAGATGCACTTTCCCAATAACCTAAATAATCACTTCTCCTAAAATTTTTCCTAATTAAACTACCTCCCCCACTATCCCCTACTTTCTCCAAAATTATCTCTAATTCCTATTTATTTTTAATGTTATCTCTAATTTAGTAGAGAGTTTGTCTCCTCAATTATCTCTAATTTCCCCTATGTTTTATCTATTTCTATCTAAAGAAAGTTTAGATTAAAAAAATTAATATTTATTTAAATATTCTAACAAAATTATAAAATATTTATTAAAAACACAAAAAAATAATTTTAAATTTTTACAAAATATATCATTAAATTATGTACTAACAATTTAAATTATGTTTTTTTGGACTATCAATTTAAATATTTAATAATATGTAATATCTTTAAATAAATAAAACTCAAATAACAAAAGATTTTAAATATTTTATAGATTGTTTAAATATTCATCATAACTAGATTTTCAATAGTTAAAATAACAAAATTATGTAATAAATTTAAAAAATTTCTTCAAAGTAGAAAAATATTTATAACATAATATTGACAATAAATTCAATAAATAATTTATATTTTAAAATTTAAACATTTTACATATTATTTAAGTATTTAAATAAATAAATATTTTAAATTACAAAATATTTAACACAACTAGTTTTTAAATAGTTAAAATAAAGAAATTATGTAATAAATTTAAAAAAAATCCTGAAAATTAGAAAAATAACTATAACATAATACTGGAATTAATAATAATTTAATATTTTTACATAATATTGTAGATAACTAATTTCAATTATATCAAGTAATAATTTGAGAAAATAACTTTCAAAAAAATAATATTTATTTATAATCATTTTAAACTCTTAATCTGTATTTATTATATAGTTATATATACTAAAATTAATATTTATTGTTTTTTGTGATAAATGTATTTTCAATGGTTATGTATAAATTTATTTTGCTTTTCTATTTAACAGAAAACTTTTAATAATTATTGGAGATTAAACTACTATGAATGATGTTTTTAAATTTACTTTATTGTACTTATTGTATTTATAATATTTTTGTTATAACTTATTAATTAAATTTTATTTGAGATAAAACTATTATTTGAGATTATACTATTTATTGACAAAGGTAATCTATTATTGTATTTTTTTAATTATTGTATTTTTTCATTATCAATATATTTTCAATAGTTGTGTATTTTCACCATAAATTTTCAATAATTATCGGAGATTAAACTATTCTTATTCATTAGAGATGAGACTATTAATTTAGCTGAAATTATGAGTATTCGTGAGCTGGTTCGGTTCGGCCATAGGCTATTTGGCCAACCAAATTGACTTGGTTAGGTTGGGGAGTTGGTCAACTGAAACCGATTGACCTTTTGTGAAATCCAACCCACTCAAATTGTACCAGTTTGGGTTGGTTTTTTGGTTTGGCCAGTCGGTTCAAACGATTTAGATTTAAAAATTAAATTAAATTTTAAAAATTATAGTGCAATTATTAAAAAAATAAACTTAAAAATTAGATTTATGATATAAAACATTTTAGATTAAGAAATATGGGAAATTTTCCACTTTTCCATATTACAAATTATATTTAAAATATAAAATATTAATATATATCCATGGTTAGGTCGTTCGATTTTAGTCGGTTTACAAATGGCCAAAGTGAAATTGATCCAACTTGGTCGAATTGGGAAATTTTTGAACCAAAGTCGACCTAAAATACAAGAAAAATGAGCAACTCAAGTCGAGTTGATCGGGTTGGTCAGTTTCATCAATTTGATGAATAAACCTAACTAAAATTAATTATTGTTATTTTTGTATTATAAAAAATTATTAAAAGTAGTAAATAAAATATGAATAATTATTAATTATTTAAAAATTTGAAAATATAAAACAATTGTACTCTTATGTGTTTCTATTAGGGTCATTTACTAGAATACACCTTTAGGGACGGTAATTTTCCCCATCCCCGACAGGGACCCAACTTCCCCGACCTAATGGGGCCAGGGATGGGGATTGTTTTGGCGTGGTGGGGGCGGGGGCGAGGGCAGGGACGGGGATTAATAGGAATCCCTAGTTGGGGTCAGGGATGGGGATTGAGGTCCCGTTCCACCCTGACCCCGATTATATATATATATATATATTAAATGTTATTTATATTAAATATACTATTATATTATTTATATTATATATATATATCAAAACATATTTAAAACATTATTTATAATTTAAAATTTTTATTTATTTTAAATAAATTTACTTAAAAAAATACTATTATCTGAAAACATTTTGGGGATTCGGGTCCCCATAGGGAACCCATCCCCGTCGGGGATCAGGGATGGGGGTTAATTTCAAAATCAGGGTTGGGGATGGGGAATATGATCCCCGCCCCGTTGCCATTCCTACACACCTTATAGTTTTACATATTTACTTAAACCTACCTTATAGTTTTCATTTTACTAAAACATCCCATGTATTTTCCAACTTATTTACTTAATCAATCTTTCATTAATGAGTTTTTGTTTTGCCATTAAACCCATGGTTTTTTATTCCAAAAATAGCCTTAACACTTTTTTTGTATAGAAAACAATTTTAACCAAATATAGCCAATAGAGTGGTTTTTTGTGTCTTATTAAGTGCAAAAATGATATTTTTATTTTTATTTTCTTTTGATTAAATTTATTTAAATGAACATCAGGGTCAACATTGTCATTTTCCACTATCATCTAATGAAAGATTGATTAAATCCATTGCAAATTACAAGTAGTGTTTTAATAAAATACTAACTATAGGGTAGATTTTAGTAAATCCCTGAAACTATAAGAGGTATTTTAGTAAATGACCCTTTCTATTATTTAACTTTCTCTTAATAAGTCTCGTGGATTGCACGGTTCCGCTAGTAAATATAAATATGTAGAGTGCAAAATCTTGTATTTTGTATCATTTTGTATGCATTTGCACTGTACATATTTGCTTTTGTATTCTTTCCAAGCTGAGCCTTAATTTTGACCTCAACAAACCAATATTTCAAATGGTAAATTTGTGTTGTTTTGGGGTTTTCCTTGGTCAAAGAGCAAGGAAATGTTATGAAGAATAAACGTGCCTTTGAAAATTGAAATGGGTTCAATGGGATGAATTTGTGCATGTGGTTTATGGAGATGATGCTTTTTCTAAAGATCAGATGAGCTGGAGACAAAATCATACAAATAGAGCTGAACTATCTATCACGAGTGAACATGCCAGTATTTCATACACAGTATGGTCCATGTGAGTTTCATGTGTACTAAATACTGTATGCTCACATGTGATAAATAGCCCTGCTAGACAGTGTATGCCCTTATCTCCAATCAGAACGATGTACATTATGACATTTAATGTAAATGAATAAAGTACATATTTGATTCATGTTATTGTGGTGTGTTTCTGTGTAATACCCTTAAACTGAACACATATGAGACTCGTGTTAGTTTAGAATCTTCACATCCGTTGGATAGATCTTGGGAGATTTATCCTACCAAGGCTGACACTGATGTGCCGCCAAATTGGTTGGGGTGGCTTGTCTCAGCTGCCAGGGTGAGACCTGAGGTACATGCAGTGTGGGTTTTCTTGAAACCCTAAATCGGACCAGAATTCTAGTATTGCCCTAGACCTTAGAGATAGATGGGCAAAACTGGAATGTTACACCTGACCCCTAGACTCGATTATAATACTACACTAGGTATTGGATTGGGCTATCTTTGATATGCCAATCAGTGAAATCCTTAGAGGGGGTCAAAACCTGGGTATGTTGGGATAGTTCGAGAATTTATCTGAGTGGGTGATCATAGTGACAGGATCAACCCCTTTGTCGAACAAAGTGAATGATCGGGGATGCACTCTCTCTGATGGAAACCAGAACTGCCGGCAGTCGATTTCAACCGTTGAAATTTGTTTTGCAAAATATATTTATATAGAGATATACATATATATTATGGTTTCAAAATATTTGCAAAAAGGTTTTAATTCCCGGGATCCATGTGAGTAGAGAGTGTAGCACTGTACCTTGCAACTGAGGGAGAGGTCCTCTCTTGTCGGGCAGTGTTTGATCATTATGGGCTGAGAGGTTAAGTGTAAGATCATTGAGGGTAATACTTGATGGGCTAGCCTTGCATCTGCCCATAGTCCTTGGGTTTTTATAAGGTGGCTTGACCCAGAGACCATTTAGTGTAAGTGTTGGGATCATTAAGAGCCCATGGTGATGGGCTCAAGGGTTCATTGTCTCTTATAGTGAATTCGGCCAGGCCTTATAACAGAGGCTGGGCTGAACCCATGTGGCTGATGCGTAGATCAATGTTTGGGTCCTACACAATACAAGGATATCCAACTGAGTAGTAGTTTGGAGGATAAGTGAGCACATAGATTTAATGGGCCTAAAGCCCAATTCGAACTAGCTTAATTAGATTAATTAAAGAGAGTACTGATCCAAATAAAGATTTGGATCAGGAAACTCCTAATTAGATTAGGAGGGCTGATCTTTATTTACAGATAAGATAAGGGATTATCCTTATCTCTTAAAGAGAGAGTCCAGATCCAAATACAAGATTTGGATTAGGAAAATCCTAATGGGATTAGGAGAACCTCTCTTTAAGGCTATAAATAGAGGAGCAGGGCAAACCTCCAGTTCATCCTTCAGTTTACTGATTCAAGAGAGAAGATAGCATACAGTTGGATTGCCTCTATCTTCTGCTCTTGCTCTCTCCTGCTATTGCCGCCATAACCAGTTCGATCTCCACTCTGGGAGCGATCAAGAAAGGGTTCTTGATATCATCATTTGGCCGAAAAGGTGATCTTAAGTCGTGCTCACTCGCCATCCATCAGATTCTTGCTGAAGAGCCATCTTGCTAATTCTGCTTCATCCTGCGCCGTGTCATCTTCGGTGGAAACAGTCTTTGGATTCATCTTTGGGCGTGAACACCTTCATTGGAGGTTACTATTACTTCATATAAGGTATAACCCTCCACTCCCTTTTGGTTTCAGATCTGGTCTGGTTTAGGTTCAAGATTGATCATTGAAAATACAGTCTTCTAAAATAGGGAATGTGAATCGCACATGAGAGAGAGATAAATTTTTGAAATTTCGCCCTACCTTCCTGCAGGGTTCGGCTATCCATATGATGGATCTCTTATCCCTTCAAGCCCAGCCTGATGTGCATGGTTTTGTCTCTAGCTGGTTTGAAAGAAAAGATAAAGAAATCGGGATTGGCACTTCTATCCTTTATTTCATGGGGAGATATTCTCAATGCAAAGCTATAATGGGTGTTTAAACGGGTTTTGCACCGACTGAATCTAGTTTCAAAGAAATCAGTACAAAACAGGAATTAACTGATAATCTGATTTTATATATTGATAGACGGCTACTCTGTAGAATAACAGAGTATTCAGCCTTGCGTGCAATCTCTGATTTCTTATGATGTTTTATGAAATAGTGTTCAGTGATTGCACCTTTAATGCAACTGAACGCCCCCCCGAGGATTCAGATCCAACAAGGGGACCACAAGCAGTTAGAAAAGATCCCAAAAAAAAAAGGAAAAAAAAAAGAAAAAAAAGAAAAAGAAACTACCTTGGACCCAGACCCAGCAATTGCTTGAGCTGGACTGCTTTATTGGTGGGCCAACATTTGAAAGCTGCATTGATGGACCGAAGGTTCTACAGCTAGATAGGAAGGATCTGCGTCTTTCCTGGAAATTATGAATCCTTTGAAATTTGAATAGTCGATGGAGAACAATACGGTATATTACACTAATTATGTGTTTGATTTTTGTGGACGTTTATAGATGGAGTGTTTATTGTTTTAATAAACATTTAATTGAAAAATATTATTTTAAATGCTTATTGTTTTTGTTTTTTAGTTGGGCATTTTAGGTAATACTCCATAAAATTATCTTTTATAGTTTAACATTTATTGGTTTTGTTATTTGGTTGGGTGTTTTCAAGTAACACCCCTATAAAGTTATCTTCCACCTCAGTTTACAATGTTCTATTCTGATAAGTATTTCATTTTAATAAATGTTAGGGCATTAGATAAAACCATAATTTGAAGTTTTCCCCAACCTATCAAACACATAAGTCTTAAGGATTCATTTGGTTTGTAATCAGAATTAGAATCAGAATGGAATTTGAAATCCTTTGGAATGGTCTATTCCCCTATTCTGTTTGGTTCAGACAGAAATGAGAATGGAAATTAAAATCATTAAGAATGAGATTTCATTCTTAAGGGAAGAGCAAGGAATGGCCATTCCCTCAAAATGGGGGAATGCCATTTCAGAATAAATGAGAATGGGATTCTGATTCCATCCAACAAACAATTAGAATTGAAATAGCCCATTCTAATTCTGATTCCGGACCCCTATTCCTACAAACCAAACAGGGCCCAAGTGGTACTGATAAATGCCAACGCCCTAAGTGATACTGATACGGTGGCATCCACAGAACCCAACATAGCCTAAATGTATAATTCTGAACCATCCATTAGGTTATTGCCGTACACAACTTCTCTCTCTTGGACCCATCAAAGGATACATGCCAGATAGATGGCTGCGATTTGTAGAATTCAAAGGGGACTGCCTTTGGGATTTGGATATCTTTTACGTGTCACTCACCCGTTGGATGCTCCAAATCAACGGAATTCCAATTCATTAACCCTACATTAAAAAATCCCTCCAGGTGAATCCTCATTTGCCCAATTGAGTCAAACGCATCCTCTGTCCTTTAGCCTTTTCGCCTCATATGCGTCATGTATTCAAAATTTCCTTGTTTGTGTGCTATGACCCAATCTGTGTGGTCTTTCTCGGAACCAAAAATTTGTTTTCTTTATAGAACTGGAAGCGTCAACCTTTCACTCCCTCTCTCGGAGGTTTTCTTAACGGTCTCAACTCTCAACTCTCAACTCTACTACAAAGTCCACCTCCTCCTTTTCCTCACACCTTCCTCAAACTCCCATACAAAGAGAACCAGTTGAGTACTTGAATTTGATAAATTAATCGTCTACACATCAAAACATTCGAGAGAAGGTTGCTTGCTGTAAAAGAAAAGAGTGATAGTTGCAGTTTTGCTTATTTTCCATGTCTGGAGAAGGAAAAAAACCAGTTTTAGTGAAATTCATCAACACTCAATATGTCCAAATTGATGCCATGAACTTCAAATCTGTGGTTCAGAGTCTCACGGGCAAAGATGCCACCATCAGGGTGGCCGGAGCTGATGGCTCATTTGTAGGACGAAATGTAAATAGGCAAGAGAGCATTGAAGATGGGGTTGGAACAGCTGGTGGCTCAAGGTCGCCAAGAGATCTTGCAATGGAGTTGGACAGATTGCTGAAGGGGCTGCCGCCAATGGATGACTTGCATCTCATGTGGGCTGAATGAACTGACTACAAATTTATCTTTGTATTATTCATTTATTTATATGTATATTTTCAATCATTATCTATTGATCAGGTTCTTAGGTTATGTTTGTTTTAAAGGAAAAGAGAGGGAAAGGAAGGGAAACCTGTACAAACCTTTTATCACATGTGTTTCAATTGAAGTTTTCCGGTGAGAGAGGTCTGTTACCAGCCAGTCATGTTGTGATGAATGGGAGAAGAGGGGGGCTGGTTATGAGGTAGGCATGCCGGTGAACTGGAAAAGAGAATGAGAGGAAAAGAATAACAAAGTCCCTAGCCCCTAAGGTTTTGGGAAAGGAGGGGGGGGGGTGGAATTACCCTAACATCGTTTATAAGCCTTCTATTTTTTCAAGTAATAGTGAGATCTTTCATTATTTTTTTAGCTTTTGAGGTCTTTTAATATAAATAAAATAATTTTTAATTGAATAAAAATAAAAAAATATTTTTCATATATATATATATATATATAATAAGGATGATCACGTCAAATGGCCTGTTCTTGTTCCATTACCCCAACCCTGCAATTTTAGAGGGGGTGAATTAGCATGCCCCCTCTCCTTTCTCACTCCTAATGGAAATGTGTTGTCTCAAATTTGTTTATTTCTATTAATCCTCACTTCTTAATTACCTAAAAATCTTCCTAAAATCTCTCTCTCTCTCTCTCTCTCTCTCTTTCTCTCTCTCTCTCTCCACACCATTAAAACCTCTCAAATACATAAGGAACCTCTAGTTTTCATACTACCCTTGGTGCACCTTCTTTATCTTTTTTGATTAAACTCTTACTATATTATCATCATTCCATTTTCTTCTTCTTCCTCTCAACATTCCTCTTACTCTCTCTTCTCATCATAATGGCCACATATTAGATAAGCTATTTTTAAAACACCGTTATACGAACATGACCTATTAAAAATAATTATTACTTTTAAACATGTTTGGTTACATAAGCTACATGTAATCCTATACTAAAATAAGGATGAGCACATGAGATGACCTTTCCATGCCGCATTACCCCAACTTTGCAATTCTAGAGGGGGCGCACTATTCCCTTTCCAAGCCTCTAGAGTTGCCACCTCAGCATGTCCCCTCTCCCTTTCCCACCCCTAATGGAAGTGTGTTGTCTCAAATTTGTTTACTTCTATTAATCCTCTCTTCCCAATTACCTAAAGATCTTCCTAAAATCTCTCTCTCTCTCTCTCCACACCCCTAAAATCTCTCCTAACACATTAAGAAACTTCTCCACTTTTCATGCTGCACCTTCCTTAACTTTTTGATCAACCTCCTACCATGCATATTTATCATCTTTCCATTTTCTTTTTCCTCCTCTCAACATATTCCTCTTATTCTCTCTTCTCATCGCAATGATCACATTTTAGATAACTCATTTTTAAAACAATGTTGCATAAACCTGACCCATTAAACATAATTATTGCCTTTAATCATGTATGGTTACATATGCTACATGTAAAATTACATAATTGACCTGAACTATCCTAAATTAACATTAACTTAAGTTAAGTTAGGTTAGACTAACTTAAACTTCCCTAAATAGAGCTAATTTAATTAACATAATTATCTTAATTAAGTTTCACTAACCTATTAACTTAATTCAAGTTTAATCTTTTCTCGATACTATTAGTTACGTGTAAAGTTACCTAATTAAATTAATGCACTAATTTATTTTAATTAGGAAATTAATTAAAGTTAGCTAATTAATAAATAATATATTTGATTAGCTAATTCTAGTATTACCTAATTAAATTGAGTAACATAACTATCCTAGTTAATTCATTTAATTAAGTTAAATGGACTTAAATTAAGTAACGTAGTTAATAAACTTTAAATTAAGTTACCCTAATTAACCTACAAAACCTAATTAATGAAGTTAACCTTAACCCAATGTTTTAAAAGTCAAACTGAAAATGGAACGCCTGGGTTCTAGGTTAGTGGTTCAATCATCAGGTTTGAAATGAATCCACTTATGATATTGATCAATGTTTTGAAAATCAACATGGAACCAGAACCACTTTGGCCACTGGTTTCTGGGTTAGTGGTTTAATAGTTCAGTTTGAACAAAAGGCCTATTACAATTTAAAAAATAAAAATAAATAAAATAAAAATGGCCAAGACTATTGTCACGGTTGAACGGGTCAATGGTTTGACCATTCAGGTATGGTTTTTGGCCAAGATATGGGGGTAAGGGTGAAATGGAATCGGTTTCCTCGAGTTTCTCAGCCCAAATGGTTAAACCGTCTAGGTCAATGACGGTTCGAAAACCATGATATTCATCATAAATATAACAAAATATTAAAATTGTAAAAAATAGTTATCAATCTGTGAATAGTTATCCACTTCAAACAGTTCAATGATGATATAGTATATGGATCAAAGGTCCACTGACCAAAATCAACTATACTTTAGAAAATCATGGGCTAAGTGGTAATCAAACAAAAAATATGATCAATTTTCCATTGAAAGAGCTAAGCTCAATGATCTTTGTAGGGGATGTAGAGCCAAAATTTTTTCTTTGGGGGCCAAAACCTAATTAAATGTGTGGGATGGGAGAATAAACATGGATGGGGCTTTGGGGGGGCTAATCATTTGGTGGGGTGGGGGGAGAGGGGAAATTTACATGGAGAGGGGTAATATAAGTGGGGATTAAGGTTCCCCCGGGTTGCCCTGGCTCTGTCCTTGATCATGAGGTTGCTTTACCCCTTGCTTATGTTAGAGCCTTTTCCTCCTATATTCAAAAAAATAAAAAAAAATTGGGATAAATTTGATTTAACTAATTAGAAATGTCATAAAACTCCTACTATATACTTGACAAAGCCATATATTAGACAAAGCCCGTGTGCGTCCTAACTAATAGATTATCATAGGAAAGGTACCCGCGAAGATTATTGGAGGTTAATTAAAGGATATTTAAGCTCTATTTGGATTCTTCATTCTCACTTCCATTCTATGGAAATGAAATTACAATTAATTTCATGTCATTTCAAATTCCACTAAAATGCAAAATTTAAATGCTAAAATCCCTGTCTTTTTCCATATTCTATGATGTTGAAATAATAGATCCAATAAACAAGAAAAATTGGAGACTCCTCTAACCCAATCTATATTTGGGTCTGCCGTCGCACGGATTGGCCTGGGGCAACGAAGTAAATTCACTCTTCAGGTTTCAGATGTTGGCCGAGGACCCCGGGGCCTCAAAAAAGGTTGACCGAAGCCGAGGCAAAGTGTTCCTTCCAAGGACTACAGTAGCCGAGGCAAGGTGTTCCTTCCGAGGACTACGGTAGCCGAGGACAACAAGTCAAGGCGAAGTCCCAGGTGGCCAAAGATGCTGCAAGACAAGGAGTGTTAGAGGCATCGGGATAGATACCCGAGGCAGAGGCTCCGACGCTCAAGTTATTACGAGGTGTAGAGTAAGGAAAGGTGTAGGAGAGCACCTTGGAGAGAGTCCTCGGATGCACTAGATCTCCTTGAATCAATGCTAAGAAAACAATGTTGGTGTAGGGAGTAAATGAATGAGTGATGTTGGAGTTTCTCTGCTCTAGCCCCTTTTAAGGGGCAGTTACCTCTTATTTATACTTGAGTGTGCTAGGGGTAGGGGTAGGTGAAGATGAACACCCCGGATGAGAGCTGTACGAGGTCAGGATGTAGGCCCTGGCGGGTACACCAGACAATTATGTGATTAGCTCTGTATGAAGGTAGCAGGGCTCCCTCCTACTATGGCTGACGCTAGCAGGCATTAGTGGGCTAGGCCTCCCAACCCTATGTGGGCTGGGCCAAGCTAACCCACATCACTTGCCCCCCACTCCTGAGACTGAGGTGAGGCCACGGATTTTGCCCGTAATGAGGGTAGTAATTGAAGTAAGGCTTCAACTTCGGTCATTGGGAGTAGTGGTTGTTATGCCTTCGGATTCGTTAGTCGAGGGATGTCCTACAGTGGCATCATCTTCGCTGTTTGCATCATCCCTCTTCAGTTCGGAAGTGTGAGCGATGTGGATGCCTCGGCTTGGCGGGAGTGTCCTGTATCCCGCACGGGCAGGTCACGTTAGCGGGGCTACTGTGCAGAGGATGGCCATCCTAGGAGTCCTATGTTTGCTAGGTTGAACGATCCGTCTAATGGTTTGCGATGAGCGGGCATTTCGGTTCGCTCGGCGGGTTGCCACGGGCGATCCTCGCGGTCCACCCAATGTCGTTTCGCCTTCCGAGAGCATGCGCTAGGAGGTGCAGTGAGACTAGTCTGTAGGAGCGGGGGACTTCCGCATCCGTTGGATCTGCGTCTAGGTGGTGCATCGCAGTTGGATGGTGGGAGCGGATTGGTTTCAGCCGTCGGGTTTGGAAAAATCCAGGCCATTCAATTTCTTTTAAATAGGGGCCTTGGTAGTGATTTTCTTCTCTGTTTGAATTTAGACGCCTTTGCTCTTGAGTGAACGCAGCTCCCCAACTCTCAATTCTCCATTACTTTTCTACTTCTTCCCTTCTTCGGTACACTTCACCCTCTCTTAGGTAATCAAAACATGTTGTTTTCAGATTCTGGTCCTGAGTGCCATGAACTCCCGAACATCTCGGGAGGGAGCTCTCCTACAACCCTTTCACCCCTGTCTTCTCTGGGTTCTTTAGCCGTAGTCCCCCTTCAACGGGAGGTGGCTGTTTTGAGGGAGAGGTTAACCTCGAGGGGTGCCGAGGGTAGTCACCGGGGAAAGGATTCTCCCAATGAAAGCGCCGCTTCGGCGTCGCCGAGGGAACCCGAGGGATCTCCTCTCTCCGAGGATGATGCCGTGGTACTCGTCGCCAGACCAGTGGGAGGGAGTGCTACCCGAAGGGTGGTTGACGCTGGTGTCTACGTTCGGAGTTTGATAGCTCCTTAGACATGTGTCAAGTCAAATCCTTGGCGATGAGGTTCCACATACCCCGGTCTTATAACCTGAGGGTCCTCGATGTGGGCGATAGGCCATGGCCCCCCGAGGAGGAGGAAAT